CATACTAATCCCCTACTTGAAAGTGTTGTTGACACGCCCATGTATTTCAATCTCAACAATAGCAGCTGCTGAGAGACTGGAAGGCTCGGAACGGTTGTGTCGTATGATTAAGCAACAGCAGAACTTTGTGCGGAAGTAGCGGGATGTTATTTGTTTTATGTTTTCTTTATAAGCAATGTTCGCAAATAAAATGAGTTTAGTTGCAGTTTAGCTGTCAGCCACACCGCCTTTTATTTTAATTAGGTTCGCCAAAAACAAATTCCTCTCAGGAACCAAGCCAGTGTAGAATTTTCGCTGCACTGTATTTACATATATTTATACTAAATTTATAAATGTATGCATGTTTAATGAGATCAACAAAAATTCAGTACTCTTGGTTTTCAAGGAACGTCGTTTCGATAAAAATAATTTAAAAACAAGTAATTTTTAGGGGAAAAACCGGCTTCAATTCCTATATAAAAAAATAAAATTTTCGTTAATTTCTTCATGATTCAATGATCGGATTTAAACTGAATTAGTATGGGACCACCTGTGAGGTAACGTTTAAAAAAGAAATTATGGAAATCGGTTAACGTGGTCTAAAGTTATGCGGTAACATACATTAAAAAAAATATTCCGACACATTGATAACTTTCTCCTTTTTGTGAAGTCGCTTAAAGACAACCAAATCAGAGAAAAAACTACCAAACAACAAAATTCGAAAACATTAAAAATAACCAAATTTTGGTTGGAAACAACCAACAGCGGCATCCGTGGTTATTTGTTATGTTTATGAAACACAAATCAGTATGACAAGTGTACCAAAAGCGACTGGTACTGGTTGTGCACGTATACATAAATATGTAAGTTTTGTTAGTTTCTTGTATGTATGTATACAGAAAATTAATTATGTGTACCATATTTTTAATTGTTTACATGTTTTTTGTTGTTGTTTTTAACCCTTCGGAGGACGGGCTGTGGCGAATTAGCCGCAAAAAATTTAATTTGTGGTTTTCAAATACTAATTGCAGTAGCAGGCCACTGCCACTAAGTGACTTTGCAATTTTTGAGATGTAGAATGGTTCACAGTTAGCCGTTACTTGCTGCGTTATATCGTTCAGTTGATATTTGTATTTGAAAGTCGGTGTCACTATATGCGGCTGAATTGCCGCGTCGCGCCTTCCCAAAAACCAAAAAAATTTTAATGTAATTCCCAATTTTTTTTTAAGATAGTTGGAAACGTGAGTTTGTGATAAGGGTCTAAATCTAAATTGTTATTTTGTAAGTATTTTGTCATGTGTAATTTTACAATTATAGATACTTTGCGTAAACATTGCTGTAACTATTATGATATTCATCTTCTTAGATTTTAGAGAAAAAGATGATGTTTTTAAACTTATATAGGAGCGAACTAGCTACGCAATAGCAATCGAAGCCAGGAATATGTACGAGGAGTAATAAAACAAAAATTTGTTGCATTAATTGTAACAAAAATGTTTGCAGAAAACATTGCAAGCATGTCACAATGTGTAGAATGTGCCAGCACCACTGTTGATGATGACGGATAAAAATTAAAAAACTAAATGCTTATAAAATATTTAACTATAAACAAAAAGTATTAAAATGTTTTACTTGAATGATTTTTCGATATAAAAAAAATGCATCTCAACACCTTGCGGCTAAATTGCCACGGCGCCCCTCTCTTGTAACTTACAAAGCGCGCCCTTCGAAGGATTAATAAAGATTTTCGCCCCTAAAGAAAAGAAAGAGAATTTATTTTACTTGCACTTGCGCAAATTAGATCCACAAAGCCCATACAAAAACAAAATATTTAAACACATGGGGTCAGCACAAATAAAGGATTAAATAAAAGGATTTTGGACAATTATTTTATTTTTGTATGGGGCACGTTCTCCCAATGGTTCCACCGATGCGGCTTCTGCGCCGG